TGCGGTTGGCGCAGGATAGAGCAGGGTTTAGAGCTGTTGTGCATAGGGTCGCTATGAGTCGGAAACAACTCGATGGCACATAACAACAACAATGGCAGATAGAATTTTCTAGACTGGGATGAAGCACATGACTAACATCTACAAAGGATCAGTCTCATGCGCAAACACCTCTGGAGGCCACAGTACCTTGGAGATCCCCGAGATGATAAGAGTGCTTTTCTTCCTCGGTGACTTGAGTTTCAGTTTTGAAGATTCGCTGAGTTGTCGGATGGCAATTTCTGCCACAGGATCTGAACCATTCAACACCAACAATTCTGCCAGAGGAAAGACAGTGTTGAATTCATTTGTAAAAATGAAAAACTTCCAGAGAGCTTGCAGGGGTGATGTAAATGGTCTTGTGTAGGTACTGGGAAAGCTTTTTCCGTAAAAGGTCAGAAAGTGAATAGGTGGGACACTGAGTGTTATCTGGTCTGTCATAACTACTCTTGTATCACAAAAGCAGCTGTAAACTTATGTCAGCAAAAGGAAGCAGTTGTATCCAATAAGATAATCATGGTGATGCACTGGGTAATGTATTAGCCTGCTAACTGACAGGTTGGCAGTTAAAAATCTACCCGTTACTCTGCAGAAGAAAGATGAACAGTTCCCTCTCATAAAAATTTACAGCCTCAGAAACTCACGGAGGGTCTCTGTAAGTCAGAAACAACTCAATGGCTATGGATTTGGTTTTATTTAGGGGGGATTCCAATAAAACTTTATTGACAAAAGCAGGTGACGAGCTGGATTTGCCTACAGGCTAGAGCTCCTGATTTTAACAGCTTGATTTCCTGTTTGGCTGCACAACAGTCACTGACGTATACATTTGAGATTCAGGTAGTTTGTTGGGGGTAGATTATGCCTCAATGTTTTGACTCATTAAGAGCAAAAGCAAGAAAACAAAACCAAAAACCTTTCTAACTTTTTGAACTTGAAAAGTAATGAAGTTAATCTTTTCCCCTCCCAAGCATGATTTAGCATGTAGACTAGGAGTCAGGGGTATGAGTCAACAAAATAACGCCTTCCCATGGCTCATAGCACACACAGGCTGACAACTATAAAATGCTACATATGTACCAGACACTAGCCAAAGAGTTTGTGTGCATTATTTCTTCTCTCAAGCCCTATGAGGTGGGTACATTTTTATTCCTATTTTACAAATAGAGGAAATACCCAGGAGTCATGTGGCTACTAAGCCAAGATGCCCACCCAGCCCACAAGGGCTAGGGAAAATATATTCCTATTAAGTAGGCTTAAAGAGACAGTGGGAGATAGACAGTGAAGAAGAAAAAAAAAAAGTTAAGATTATGTTCCATTAGTCTTACTGATTTTTAGGTTAAATAATATTCACCTTTTTTATTGTCCAGTCTTTGAGCTTTTAACAAATGCATGTTTTATGGTCATTATTAGAGTATCATGTAAAATAGTTTCACTTCCCTAATGATGTACTGTGCTTTATCCATTTAATTCTCCTGATCATTCCTTCCCTGAAGTCCTGGAAACCACAAATTTTGTTACTGTCTACATGGTTTTGCCTTTCCAAGGAAGCCACAGAATTACAATATTGCACTTACTTCATTCAAGTGTGCCCTAGAACTTAAGCAAAGATGCAACCATCTCTCTGGCCTTCAATCAGTTTCTCAACTTCTGGCTCTTAATACTCAAAAACAAATCACTCTTCAAACTCCAGAAATTCAATCTTCATGCTCAGGAGATGAGAAAGACTTATCAGAGTGACTTGGAAGACGCTAAGAGAGGGGAAGTCCACACACACCCTGCATTACCTGTATCTGAAGAAGAGAATGTTTTGCTGACAGGGGCGCTGTGGCAAGAGATGGCCTGGACTGAGATGTCCTTTTCAATTACCTTCACTTTAACAGGCATTTTCACAGGAGATTCTGCCAATAAAAACCCTCTGTTACAAACGGCATGCAAAAATGATCCAAATCAAAAGAGAAAATAAAACTACTTCTCATTTCGTTGCTGCTTAAGCCAACCCGTCATTAATAATCCTGGTAGTGTAGTATATTATATGTTGCAGTGGAACCAGAAGGTCAGTGGTTCAAATCCACCAGTTACTTTGAGGGACAAACATGGACAGTTTTCTCCTGTAAACTTTTACAGTCCCAGGAACCTGATAACCTGATGGTAGGTCTCTGTGACTCATAACTGAATCCATGGCAGTGCCTTTATTATTATTAGCAGTTGTTCTTGTTGTGGTTAAGTGCCATCGAGTCGTAGACATAGAGACCTTACGAACAAAAGACCTGAACACTTGTATAACTTTCATCGTTTCTCTTAAGTTCATAGAGTTTCTGAAGGCAAGCTGTTTCAGAGTGGATGCCACGCCTGCTTATCAGCAGTAGTAGTAGTAATAATAATAATAATAATAATAATAATAATAGTATTGTTGTTGTTGATTGCCTTCGAGTCGAGCACAACTCATCACGACCCTATGAACAAAAGGCCTGAAGCCCCTCTACAATTATCGACATTTATCAAAGTTCATAGAGTTTCTGGAGGCATGTTGTTTAGGAAGTGGATGCCACTTCTGCTTCCAATTTTGAGTCAGAAGTATATTATTTGAGTCAAAAGTAGTGTTCGAAGTCTGGTTCTAAAGAAAATTTTAGAAACATTTAAGTTAGGATTTCAATTTCTATGTTACATTCAAACAAAATACTTATAAAAGAAACAATAAAATAATAACATACACTTACAAGCTATTACAGCCCAAGCACTAGTTGTGACATGCTTAAAACTCAACTTATTTAAATTAGCTGATATCACTATTTCCAGTAAATAATTTTTTACAAGCTATTACAGCCTGAGCACTGATACCTACTTTTTGAAGACAGCATATGCTATATCCACATACATATCCCTATATGCAGGGAATTGCACTCCTAGCCCAAAGGCCTTGTCTTTTTTTTAATTATTATTATTTTATGTGTGCGTGCCATCAAATTGGATCTGACTGGAACAGGAGGAGATTGTCCCTCCTTCTCCAGAAGAGCATCTGGTGGATTCAAACCAAGCGCCTCTGGGATTGCAGTGCGGCTTCTTGCCACAAGGCCACCAGAGCTCCTGACCTTGCCTTTCTGATAGTTCAAATGCACCAGTGGCTGCTCAGGAGAGAAACGGACAATCTCCGCTTGAGTGACTTACAGCCTTGCAAACCTGCTGGAGCGTTAGCTATGAGTTGGTTCAGAATGGATGGCAGTGAGTGAGTGTGACCCCACATAAACCTAATGAGGTATTTCTTTACATAATACTACAGTGTAGCTAGTTATAACATCTAGGCTTTATGGTTGTTGCTGTTATTATAGATAGCTTCTGTTGAGTCCAACTTATGGTGACTCCAGGCACAAAAGGAAAAAAACAGTGCCTGCCTTTATGTCACTCTCATTATCAATTCATATATCAAACTGTTTGATCAAGTTTCTGCAAGCTGATTTTTATTCTGCCAGGCCTTTCTTCTTAACCCTGAATACCCATTAAAACTTATTTTGGGGGGAAAAACCCCAAAAACTTATTTTGCCTTAAAACAACATAGAAGTCCTCAGTGACAGATGAGTGTGACTATATGTGAGATGCATTGGCTGGGAATTAAACCTAGGACTTCTCCTGCATGGAAGGTGAGAAGTCTACCACTGAACCACCACTGTTCCTCTAGATTTTAGCTTCAGAATTTACTACAAGGTTGTGCCTTACTCTGGTTTGTTGGCCATTTATTAGTAATATGTTGTACCAGAAGAGCAAGCCAAATTCTTGCCAATTACCAGTATTCCTTGGACAATGAATAAGGATGGCAAATGGAGAATCAATGCTTTTGAACTGTAGTGTTGGAGAAGTGCACTGAATATCCTGCGGACTACCAAATGAATAAACAGGTCTGTCTTGGAGGAGTTACAACCAGGGTGTTCCTTAGAGATAAAGACGGTAACACTTCTCCTCATACACTGAGTATGTTGTCAGGAGGGGTCAGTCCTCAGAAAAAGACGCATGCTGGGAAAGGTGAGAGAAAGAGAGGAAGGCTCCCAACAAGACAGACTGACACAGGGACTGTAACAGTGGGCTCAAGCGTATCAGAGATCATAAGGATGGCACAGGATAGGATAAGGTTTAGATTCTTTGTTAACAAGGTCCCCTATGAACTGTAGCATCTCGGTGACATCTAACAAGTCTTCCTTGATCATGAGATATCCCTAATACTCAGTACCCAGCCTGAAGTGTTCTGCAAGATGGTTACAGAAAGTGGAACTCTACAGGGTTTCTGAGTTAATAGCAAGCTCATGGTCCTCACCAGGGCTCAGTGGAGATGCCCTCCCCACGTCGAAGCGAGGCTTCGTTTTCACGGCAGTCACTGTCGTGACCACCGTCCCGCAGGGCATCACCATGCGATCCATCTCTACCTTTGCAGCAGGAACAGGCAGAGGGATTGGCCAAGGCTTCGATTCACTGGGTTCTACGTAGGAAAACTGAAGAAAAGGCTGGTTATTTACTCTGTAGTACATGCGAAGGCTGGACCCTGCCTGGAACCTTAACTTCTTTTGAAACAACTTTTGTATTTCTTCAGTTAATGTCTATAAGGAATTGAATTATGTCCCCCTCCCCAAGCGGTTTAGGGGTAAGGAGCTGAATTTCCAATACAAAGTTCATGGTTCAAACCCACCAGCTATTCCGTGGAAGAAAGATATAAAATCTCCTCCCACACAACATACTACCTCTGAAATGAAAACCCACTGAAGTGTCAGCTGTGACTTGGTTCCTAACAACCTCCAAAACATATTTGGAATCCTTACTCCTATACTTGTGAATGCAATCCTTCTTGGAAATCATAGCATTTTCTTTATTATGCTGATTAGATTATACTCAATAGGGTAAAGTCAATATCTAATCACTTCTGAGTTAGAGACACACATAGGGTGCAGGAGAGGCAGGTATTATCTATCTGCTGAGACATACTGACACCAACCCAAGGACTATAGCATCTAGTAGCTGACACAGCCAAAGAAGGACCTCCCCCTGGAGGCATATGCTGAGTTCAAACCTCTAGTGTCTAGACTTTGGGAAAATACACTTCTGTCTGTTAAAAATTACTACTTATAATATTTGTGTTATATAAGCACTAGGTAATTAAGATAATGTCACTTTATATTCCCAGCCCTGTATGATACCACCTAAGCTTAACCCCAGACATTCAGCATATAATGATGAGGACAAAAGTGGGAAAGCAAATGCATATGAACAGCTTTCCTGGGTTAGACCCTGTATTATGGCCTGATGAAGAGTGATTTCACAGCAGAGACATGAGAGTGGGCAGGACCTGCTCCAAGCCTAGAAATGCGTTTGGTGGAATGGCTTTTCTTCTTGGGAAGATAATAGTGAAATGAGGATGAGATAGAAATGAAGCTGCTCCTTTATCTCAAGTGACTAGACTGATGCTTGTCCGGAGGAGGTGATGTCAGCTGTACCTCCAAAGTGATGGACCCCAAAACTGGGCTTCCCATGGCAGATGTCCTGGTCAACGTAAAGCTCTGTGATCCAGAAGGCTGCTTCTTAAATAAATCCAAAGGAATCATTGTCATTGCAAACAAACCTGAAAAGACAGAAAACAAGCAAGGAGCATCAGTGATGTGTCGTCCATGAGGGAAAAAGGCCAGAGTGACCTGTGACAACTGAAAATGAACTTCCAGTGGACATCCTATGAGCTTGAAAATGCTCATGAATCAGAATATTTGAGAAACATCCATTTCATTTAAAAAAAAGGCAGGGGAAAATGCAGCTTTGAAATGCTCTAGATGAAAAGAGACTAAAGAGAAGCGAGAATTTCAAATCACATTCTGTCCTGTGCTGGAGTAGAAAAAGAACTGCTATAAAGGACGTGGCAGGGTTAGCTAGCAGAAAGTGGAATACGAAGGTAGACTGGGTGTAGGAATGGAATCAATGTAAATTCACAAAGTTGATTACTGTACTGTGACCATGTGAGAGGACATCCTCATTTTTAGGAAGTGTGCATTAAAGAACAAAGGGGTGAAGAGACAAGCTGAAACTAAATTAAAAACTAAACCACTTACCACCTGTTTGACTCATGGCAACCGCATGTGGGTCTGAGCAAAGCTGTGTTTAATGGGCTTTTAATGGCTGGCTTTTTGGAATTAGATTACTCGGATTTTCTCTTAGCACCATCCAAGGAAATCCTATGATATGTTGCAACTTACACGTAAGTGGTTTCAAAAAATGTTGGGGGGAGGTGTGTTTGTGTGTATATACATGCATGCACACATGAAGAGAGAGAAGGAAAGGAAAGGAAAATGAGAAAGAAAATGGGGCTAAATGCTAGAAACAGGCCAGTCTGAGTAAAGATTATAAAGACTTCATATATAACTAACTTTTTAGGAGTTTGTTATTATTCTTTCCTAAAGATTATTACTTATTTTGTTATTTATGATAATATTCATAGCAAAGCATACATCAATTCAAATTTCTACTTGGTCAATTTAGTGACACTGCTTACACTCCATGAGTTGTGCAATCATTTTTTACCTTCCTTTTCCAAGTGTTTTCTCCTTTTTAACAAAAACTCATTGTCCATGAAGATTCCTATCTAATCTTTGGGATGGCTGTTGTCAATTTGATCCCATAGAGATAGTTCATAAAAGAGCTTAAAGTAAAATGAGTTCACTTTTTAAAGTGATTTCAGATGGTAATTTTTTTTTTTTTTATTGAAGGCTTAACGATTACCTCAGGATATTATTTTAGGGTGAAATTTCTCTTGTTTGTGTCCATTTGAACTTTTGTAGATCGTCAGGCGGGAGTGGAATGCTGAAGCCAACAGGAATGTGGGAAGGAAGAGGATTCTTTCCATATAAACAGTAGCTCCGCCCTACACTCATCCCTTGGAACTGAGATGAGAATGTTAGTTCTTATCACAGAATCAAGGAAATGGCCTCAACATTCTTTCTAATCAGTAGAATCTTGATTGGTGTTTTTCCTCAACTCATCCTCATTGCACCAAAGGAGATCAGAGATCACCTCCCTTTCTCTCAGCCACCAGGGGACCAGAACCAGCAGAGAAGTGTCACCTTTGAGTTGGCAGCACAACTCCCCAGGGATGATGCCACAGCCCTCTCTATCTAGAGAAAGCGCCCCCTCCAGGGAGTTTTGCTGCTCTGATGGTTTGAATCCACTGTGGCTCATTAGGGGAATAATGGACAATCCTCTCCCGTTTCCTATAGTCTGGGAAAATCTACTGGAGGGTCAGCTACGAGTCAGTTCCCACTTGACAGCAATGAGTTGGAGTTCTAAGTTGGAGTTACTTCCAAATGCTGCATGTGTCTCTAGTGATGCAAATCCACCAACAGCTCCTTGGAAAAAGATGTGCAGTTTCCTCCCATCTTCAGCTTCGGAAGCCCTGGTGGCACAGGCACTTAAGCACTCTACCCAGAGGTGCTGGAACACCAAGTTGAGGATCTGCTTCCAAAAACTCACAGAGCAGTTGTACTGTGCACACACAACTGAAATCAGCTCCACACGGGCAACAACAACCATCTGCATCCACTTAACGACTTTATCTCCAATCATGGGTCTCTTGCATCTAAAACATATGCCTAGTTTTAGCCACTATGACTTATTTAACAAGAAAAAGCCTGTGGAATATACTTGTTCCCACAATACATGACCTTTTTAGTAAAAACATTGACTTTCAACCCAATATTCCCTTGTGAAAATACAGCTGGTTTGGAGGAGAGGCTGCCAGGTTCTCGCACCTTCCCTAACCCCTCAAGACTGGGTGCAGGTGGTATGATGACTTTCCCAGACCACAAGGCCTCCATCCCCAACCCAACACCCACCTTCTGAGGAGCGCCCATCCTCTGAAAGCTGCAGTTGCAACTCCTTTGACTTGGCATTCAATTCACTGTGAAAGGAATAAAAGCTGTGAATAATTAAAAATACAATGGCCTGTTCAGTCCTTTTTAAGAAAAAAAATATAGTAATTTTTCTAATTACAGGGGAAAAAAACCCACAAAGTTGTCATCAATATTTAAGAAACTCCTCATTGCCAGCAAGTTAGAACCAACTCACAGCTGACCCTCCACTGGGTTTTCAGAGGCTGTAAATAAACTGTAAATCTGCCCATCCTTCGCCCATGAAGCTGCTCGTGAATTCAAACTGTGCACTTTTGGGTTGGCAGTGCAACTCCCTACACACTAGACCACCAGAGCTCTCTTTAAAGAAACTGTAAGACATATAAATACAAAAGTGAATATTATCTGAAACCTCACTAGGTAGGTAGTCTTCCAGGTGTCCAATAAAACTTTCTGCGATCATGGGAATAGTCTACATTTTCTCTGTCCAAGACTGTAGCTACTAGTCATATAAAGTCACTAAGCACTTGAATGTGACAATGTGACCAGTACAATGAAGGAATTGAATTCATTATATTCCCTTTTTTTATCAGTTTCAATTTAAACAGCCACATATGGCTCATAACTACTGCACTGAAAAGTACAGTTATAAAATCTTAAAAAAAAATACAGAACATAACATACCTTTTTCTCCCTTTGTAATCTGTGGGGGGTTTTGTCACTTAAATGTCATAAATATATTCCCATGTCTATAAACACAGAGCAATATAATTTCTCAGGGTCATCTGGCATGCCACTAAATGGCTCCAGGACATTTTATTCAGTCAATCCCTTGGTTGTTTCCAGTTTTTACAAACGTTCTGAAATAAATATCCTTATGCATGTATCTTTGTACACCAGGTGACTATTTCCTTAGGAATATTGTAATTAGCAAAGGATACACACACGTAAGAGATTTTTAAATATATGTGAACAATTTCCAGAATGCTTATTCTAACTTATACATGCATTAGCCATTATCTATTTTTAACCAACCTGTAAAGTGAAAAATTAAAGACCCTCTTGTTTGTTTGCTCCACTCTATTTCTGAAATTATCTATCTTTCAAAAAATTTCTGCTCTTTATAATTTGTGTTTATTTCTAATTCATAAATTATGTCCACTTTATAATGCAATGTCCAAAATTTTATTAATGATTAAAAAAATATCAAACACAAAAACAATTTTCATCCATTATTATTTTAATGCTTACTTTTTAGGCATCAGAAATGGACTGATTTAATTATTTTTATAACCTGCCACTTTACCAAAGTATTATATATCTACTAGTTTTTCTAATAGTAATTATGTATATCCTATTTTTTATATTATTAATACTATTATTATTATTAATTTTTTTTTTACAGCTAGAGTGGCCAAGTCGATAGGGAGCTATTTTACCAACCCAAAGGCCTACAGTCAATTCCACCAGTTGCTCTGCAGGAGATAGATGGGCAATTTACTCTTGTACAAATGGTGGTGGTGGTTGTTCTGAAAACCCACTGGAGGATCAACTGTGAGTTGGATCCAATGCTACAGCAATTAGATAATTACATAATTATTCTAATATCTGTAGTTTATTTTCTAGAGAGTTCCAGATACTCAAAGATATCTTCTTCAAGTAATGATTCATTTTGCTACTTCCTTTCAGAATAGTACAGAATTTTTCTTATGACATTGTATTAGCCAAGTACTTCAAGAACAAAAGGCAACCTTCTTTTTAACTTTTGCTGGAATGCTTCTGGCATTTGTCTTTTATAATTATTTCTTTTCTTATCAGAGACATCTCCATAAATTTTGTTTTCATTAAGAATGTTTAAAATCAGGAATGAGCATTACTTATCACAGATTATATTTTGTACACATATAATTATTTTGTCTTTTAATTTAATGATACATTTTATTATTAGATTTTTTTCCCTACTAAGCCATCTTTAGCACTCTTGGAATATACTCCACATTCTTTTCAATGTGCCCATGGATTCAATTTGACACTATTTTGAATGCTTACACCAGTACTTTTAATTGTCTTTTCTCTTTTTTCATCTTTTTCTGTCAGATTTTTACATTAATAAGTTCCCTTCTGCTCTGCCCTGGATGAGAGAATATACTCACGTTTATTGTTGCATTATTCACAATAGCAAGTCCAATAATAGATCTTACAAAATAGTTCTTAAAAAAAAAAAATCACAGTGGGAAGGGGATTGTAGGCAAGGAGCTTATTTGCAAAGGGGTCAGATTTAAAAAGATGCATTCCACTCCTAACAATTATTTCTTGTTGGTACTGAACTTGCCACCACCCTTTACTTTCTTCTTTATCTCTAGTGATATAAAAAAAATATTAAATCCCATATCCTAGGGGAACTGGGATGGACCTGGGAGTGCTGCATTCCATCTTTAGTTTTCCTACAACTCTGGTTTTAGTGAATTATGGGATCATTTCCACATTATATACACATGTACTGGTGGGTGGGGTGGGGCGGGGCTGGGGCAGGGAGAGCATAATTCAGGCCATCAGAGGGAGCTCTGGTGGCATAGTCTGTAGGGAGTGGCTAGCCCAAAGCCCACGCCTCTCTGGCAGTTCAAATCCACTAGTGGCTACAAGGGAGAAAGATGGGCAATCTTCTCCATGTGATTTACAGCCTGGGAAACCTGCCGGAGGGTCAGCTATGGGTCAGTTCTGACCAAAGGGCAGTAAGTCATAAGTCAAATGATTCACTCCCATGAACTGCACCCATCACTGGCAGGAATGTAAAAGGTGCAACTGCTATGGAAAACATCTGCTGTTTCTCAAAGTCAAACACAAACCATCATAGGAATTCTGCATTCAGTTTTTTCACTCCAAGGAAATCCATGGATGTCACAATTCTCTAAGTGCCAGACTATTAAATGCAAGGCTGGTGTGTCAGACCCACCCAGAGGTGCCTTGGAAGAAAGGCCTCTGAAAGGTCACAGTCTTTCACATGATAGAATAGTTTACTCTCCATAACTGTGTTGATGACAACTGGGTTTTGGTATATACTCAAGTGAATTGGCAATAGTACTTTAAACACATACTTGTTCACAATTGTTCTGAGCAATATTATTCACAATAGCCACAATGTGGAAACCACCTGAATGTCCACAAATAGGTGACTAGATAAATAAAATTTAGCATATTGGTGCAATGGAATATTATTCAATCATAAAAGATTACAAAGTTCTGGTATATGATTCCAACCCACAGCAACCCTAAAGGACAGAGCTGAACTGGTTCCAGAGGTTTCCAAGGCTGCAGATTTTACACAAACAGACTAGTGCTGCGAGCTGTGACGTGGATGATTCTTGAAAGCATCATGATGGTGAAAGAAATCAGATACAAAAGATCACACAGCATATGACTGCTTTTGTGTGAAGTAACAGGAAAAGGCAAATCCATAGCAAGAGCAAACAGATTAGTGGTTGCCAGGGACTGAGGGGTATGGCTTTGGTTTTGTGTTTGGGTTCCGCCCCCCGCCTTTTTCTAAGGTAGATTGTTGTGATGTCAAACACTGTGTCAGATGTGTCAGATGCAGTAATGGTTACACATGGTGGACAGTGTTTGGTGGAGCTCTCCCATTAAAACAAGCTTGGAAGCAGGAGCAGCATCCACTTCTGACACAGTTTGCCTCCAGAAACTCTATGAATTTGGAAAAACGATGAAAGTTATATAAGCGTTCAGGTCTCTCATTCATAGGGTCACTATGAATCATCTATGACTTGACAGCACTTAAAAACAACAAGATGGGGAAAGGGAGCTTAGTGGTAGGGAGCTGTGCTACCAACCCAAAAGCAAGCAATCTTAATCAACCAACTGTTCCACAGGACAAAGGTGGATAACCTCCTCCCGTGTCATTTACAGCCTCTGAAAATCCACCGGAGGGTCAGCTATGAATTGGTTTGAGGGCACAGGAGAGCAAAAGCAGAAAGGGAAGAAGGAAACATGAGGATATCCTTCTCCAAGGAAAGTATGTGAGACAACCCTTCAAAATTCTTGCCTCCAGGAAGCAGCCTGGTTTCACCCTCTCCAGGACAGACCTATTTGTTCTCTTAACAGTCCATGGTATGTTCAATACTCTTAAGAGCTTATGGCTTATATAGTGCTAAAAAACAATTCCAGGAGACCCTGGCAGTCCTGACGAGGTGCGCTGTGGAGGTCCGAGCCCACGACACCTGGGCATGTACTCACAAGGTGAACTCCTCGTCCCACGTGAGGTCAGCAGTGCTTTTAGCTGGGGAGGTGGAGAAGCTCTGAGCAGGCTCGTTCAGCTGAGCAGTGCACACTGGCTTCACGTTGCCTATAAACAAACAATGGAACATGGCCTTGGCTTTTATTTCTATTGTTTAATTGTCTTAAAACATTTTTTATAAATAAAAGTTGGAATAGATGACTAAATCTGGGCTTGCCCATATCTAAGAATCCATTTTTCTTTTCATTTTCTATTTGTAAACTCCACAACAGTACACTTATTTGGGGCTAGTGATCTTTGCCAGTACTCCATGTTAACAGCTTGGGCTGGCCCCAGATGTCCCTGCTTCTCTCTGAGGCCACTTCTGATTGCAGGCACAGTCTGCAGTGTGGAGACTCCCCTGAGGAAATACCTCTACAGCAAAAACACACTCCAGGGCAGATGGTTCTCTTGCCAATGAAAGGACTAGTTTAAACTATCTGTTTAAAATCCCTGGCAATTAAAGAGATGCAAATCAAAACAACTATGAAATATCATCTTACCCAGCAACAATAGCAAAGTTCAACAGAGCCACAAACGACAACTCTTATTCATTGCTGGTGAGAATGTAAAATGGTACAGCCACTATGGACGGTGGTCTGGCACTTTTTAAAAAAGTCAGAAATACTCTTTGACCCAGCAATTCCACTACTGGGAATAGACTCTAAAGAAACCAGAGCCATGACTCAAAAAGATGTAATGCACACTCACGTTTATTGTTGCATTATTCACAATAGCAAAGAGATGGAAGCAACCCAAATGCCCATCAACAAATAAATGGATAGAAAAACTGTGGTATAGTCACAGAGTGGAATATTATGCAGTACTGAAAAACAATGACTTCATAAAACATTACACCACATGGGTAAGCCTGGAAGACATTATACTGAATGAAATATCTCAGTCACAAATGGACAAATACTACCTAAAAACACTGTTAAAAAACAGGACTGACCGGAATACCTGCCTTTCCAGCTACATTGAAACTAAGAGTCTACAACACTCACCAGTCTCTGCAAAACCAGCCTGCACACCTGCAATCACTGGTATTGTGCTGCACATATGAATGAATAAACAAACTACTATACATACACACAACAGAATACTATGGTGTTCAAAATAGTGGAAAATCCTCAAAACATCACATAACATGGATGAATCTGGAGCGTTTATTTCAACCAGTAGCCCGTGTAAAATAAATGAGTGACAAAAAGAAAAATAGGACTAACAGTGGATCAGGGGAAGAGGGGAGAAAGAAAGAAGAGGGAAGGAGGAAAATGTACAACAATGAATGAATTTTTCAAAATTAAATAATAAATTTAGAAGAAACTGGTTAGCAGTACAACTCCTACAGCAACACCATGAGTTGCTGTTGTTGTCTACCATCAAGTTGGAACCAACCCACTGCTGACCTTCTGGTGCGTTTTCAGAGGCAGTTAATTGTACAGGAGGAGATTTCCCATCCTTTTCCTGCAGAGCACCCTTGAACTGATGCCTTCAGGATTGCAGCACAGCTTCCTGCCATTAGAAATTTGTTATTGCTGCTGTGTACCATCAAGTTCAAACCAACTCATAGCTGAACCTCCAGCAGGTGCTTTCAGCAGACTGTTCATCTTTCTCCTGCAGAGCAGTTGGTGGATTTGAACCACATTCCTTTGGGTTGGCAGCACAACTCATTACAACTAAGCCACTAGAGTTTCCTGGAACGTAGAGGCACCTAGATTTAGAGGTGCGAGCAATCTCCTCCCAAACAACTGACTGAGTCTGAAAATCCACTAGGGGTCAGCTATGGGTTGGTTCCAATTTTGATGGCACACAAAAACAACACAGAGAAAAATATTCTATTCTGTGACTGGAGTGGTGGGAATAAGTGTGTTTGAGATGGCTAGGTTGGCACAGGATAGAACAGCGTTTAGAGTTCTTTTACATAGGTTCGCTATGAGTCGCAAACGACTCGATGGCACATAACAACAACTCATAACAGATCCATGTGTATTTATACCTGGGGCTCCTGGATGGTGCAAACAGTGCACTTGGCTCCTAATTTGATTTTAACAGTTCAAGTCTATCCAGAGGCACCTTGGGAGAAAGGTTTGGCAATCTACTTTTTAACAATTTATTTTATATTGGTTTGCTCAGAAAGTTCATATACATTGTGTTTCACACTATTCTTCACTCACACTGTGTTTCATACCATCATTCATTCCCATGCATTATGTTTTAGAAAATAAATCACCATTGAATGTTGCCCATCATTATCCAATCTTTCCAGGTCTCCCTTGGATCCTTCCCACTTCCTTTACTCTCTCTCCCTCCACACACCAAACTGTGCAACCCTATGGTTTAAAAAATCAGCCACCGAAACCCTCTGGAACACAGTATTACCCGGAGACACATAAACAACATCACCCTCTCCAGCTTACACACATTGTGAGCTTCAGCAAGATGTCAGAATCAATGAAAAGGAGAAATCTGCTCACAACACTTGTCTTTACTTAGATTCTACTGCTGCTGAGCTAATTCAAACTCTTAACTACCTTACTGGACAGCCAGAACTACCCCATTTGGTTTCTGAGGCTGAACATCTTTATAAGAGCAGACTGTCACACCTTTATTCTTGGAGAAGCTGTTGTTGTTCTTAGGTGCCACTGAGTTGACTAGGACTCATAGCGACCCTATGAACAATGGATCTGAACCTGCCATATCCTGTGCCATCCTTATCATCTCCTGTGTGCTCAAGCCCATTGTCACAATCACTGTCAATCCATCTTGTTGAGTTCTTCCTCTTTCTCTGACCCCCGCTACCTTTCCCAGCATGATGTCCTTGTCCAAACACTGGAGCCTTCTGACAACATGCCCAAAATATGTGAGACAACCTTTCACTATCTTTGTCCCTCAGGAGCTCTCTGGCTGCACTTCCTCCCTGACAGACTTATTACTCAGATAGCAGTCATTAATCTTCTAACACCAAGGGTCCCATCTCCTCTGACACCCTGCACATTAAAGACACGACTTTCAGCTTACTTTCAGGATCAAGTAGAGGTCACAGAGATGTTTCAATCTAGAACCAAACCCACAGATTCTGTGTCAATTTCAACTCACCGTAAGCCTCCGTCGGGTTTCCAAAGTTAAAAAATCTTTGCTAGAAGAGCCTGGTACATGTATGTTAGTATGTATTTCTGTGTTAAATAGCAAGACTGCAGAAAAAGGAACACCAGCAGTGGTATTTCTGTCTTCACTTGGCTCCCCTACATGAGTGCCCATCTGAATGGAGTCCCCTTAGCACCTAGAACACACTGAGTGCTCATACTACAAAGCTAGGCCAGGGGCCCCACCACCATCGCAGAAACTCCTTTGCCTATTGCCACTACCTGGAATGCCAGCGTCATTCAGCAGCGAGGCTCGGAGGTTCTTCACCAGCAGTTTTAGCTCATGAGCCCTTGGAGGTTTGGGAGGGCAGGATTCCTGAGGAGCGGAGGAAGCATGTTGCAGAGTCTGCAAAAGAAACAAAGAGGTCACGATGCTTTTCGTAGGAAAAATACAAGGCAGGGGGGATAGCCATTGGAGTAACGTGGGGTGGGCCCCTTCTCTTTTCATGGAGAGTACCCATGTGAAATGTTAAACCAACCCTGACTCATGACTTTTAACCCCATGAGTGCCAGAGTGAAACTGTCCTCCATTGGCTGCCAATGTCTGAGTTTTCAGAAGTAGACCTCCAGTCCTTTCTTCTGAGGCACCTGTGAATGGACTCCAATTTCTCACCTTGCAGTTAGCAGCCAAGCACATTAACTGTTTGGACCATTCGAGGGCTCTCACAGGGAAAGGAAGGAGGTTGATAAACCAGGACCTCCCTGCTAAGAACCTTTGATTTCTTAAATAAAGCAAATGAGCACCAGAGCGCCTTCTGCCATGGTTAGGGCTCTCCCTGAATCTTGCTATAGGTTCATGATGGGATCAAATTTTGCCATGGGCTCACAATCTTTGGTCTAGGCAGAGAACCAATTTATCCTCTGGAGCCCTGCCCAGGGCTCACTGGCATAGAAGCCCAAACCAGGTGAACTCAGTTAGGATCCCTTTAGTCCCACCATTTCCCACCATCTGGGAAATAAATAATAACCAATGAAGTGATGCATTTGTAAGGGAATGAAAGGGCAGGTGCTGAGGGAATTGGTTATGTCTCTTGGTGTCCTCAAATGGGCAGGGACACATTTACAAACCAGGGTTTCCTAAACTAGCTTTCACATTTCACTCTACACAATGCATTTTATTTAATTCCCCTGTTACAATATTTAGGAGATTGTGAAGTGAATATTCCAGGCCTATCGGGTGCAGTTTTGGCTTCTGACTGCACTTTGGGCAGAAGGTTAACTAACATCTCACAACACACTAGCATTCTAGAAAAGACATGTCTCGGGCAAGGACTCCCAGCTGTGAGCTGAGGATGGTGAAGCAGCAATAAATCAATGCAAAGGTTTCTAAAATGCAGGCATGCCGGAGGCTGCACAATCCTCACGCAGGTAGTGGAGATGAAATACTGTCTTCCACTGCATATACATGGGCTATTTTCAGAAATAAAATATGCAAATTTATTTATAAGTATTATTTCATCTATGTTCTGAATCAATGCACTCTAAAAATATACCACTATCTTGTGAAGTCTCTCTAGTGTGGGTACACAAAATGCGTTTTCACAGTCCGAATAGTCAGGAACTGCTGATCTGAAATAATTGTCAGGATGAGAGTGCAGAAACAGGGTTGGTGCTACAACTCTGCCTTCAACTCCTAAGAAGGCTGGCCTGACAACCCACCCCACTCCCACCAGCCCAGGGCGGCTGGTAAGCACCCCAGGGAAGCCTGTACAATATCCATGTGACAGTCATACTCCCATCTCCCTGCCTGTCTGCTCTCCCTGCTGAGCTGTGACCACCAGGAGGGCGAGAAGGCTCTCTGATACTCCTGACAGCCCCAGTGCCCAGAGCCAAGCACAAAATGGGTGCTCACCTACAATCTGTCCAAGGAACCAGTGTCTCCAGACTCTACAAATTAATTGCTGTGATACCTGCAGTAAAGAGGACCAGAGACCAAGAGCCTGCATCATAAAAACCAGCTCAGAGTTCTATTTTCAGACAGACTTCACCAAGAACTAGAGATTAAAGGGGGGGAGGGGTTCCTACATATTTCACAAATACACTTGGAGAGCCAGGGTGGTGCCAAGTAGTTTTTGATCACCTAATAACCCAACTGAATATCCATCCCATGGACAGCCAAAAGAACAAGCAGGTATGTCTTGGAGAAGGTACAGCCAGGGTCTCCTTGGAGGCAAGGATAGCAAAGCTCTACCTCACATACGTTAGGCATGTTGCTAGGAGAGGCTATTCCTTGGAGAGAGACATCATGCTTGGACAGGGGGTGGGATGGAGAAAGAGAAGACCCTCAACCAGGTGGACTGACACAGGGACTACAGTAATAGGCTCAAGTGTGTCAGTGACCATGAGGATGGCACAGGATAGGACAAGGTTCAGATCTGTTTTTTGTAGGGTCACTATGGGTCATACTCAACAGGATCTAACAACAACAATTAACCCAAGGTTCATGGTTCAAACTTACTTAATGCCTCCGTAAAAGAAAAGGTCTGACAATCTGTTTCCAAAGAGACTGAAGCCAAGAAAACCCTGAGGAGCATTTACTCTGTAATATATAAACGTCACCATCACCATTAGTCAGGGGTTGATTTGACAATGGATAAAAACAACAACAAAATGTATTCTTGTGTGTGTACGCGTGTACTCATATATTTTTATAGAGAGAGGACCTCTGGTGGTGCAGGAAGTATTGATGGCCTAATGGTAAGGAGATGCACTTCTAACATATGGTTCAAATCCACCAGTTGCTCCATAAGAGAGACAGGCAATCTCCTCTCTTATAGCCTCTAAAAACGCACTGGAGGGTCAGCTATGAGTTGTTTCCTAACCCATGGCACATGACAACAACAACTGCTGGTGCAGCCCATAGAAAGTTACGTTGTTAACCCAAAAGCTGCATTTCTCAGGTGGTTTATCCAGCAGCAGTTCTGTGGGAGAAAAATGAGCAGTGTCCTCTCAGTACAATATAAGCCTTGGAAACCTGATGAAATTGACTAGCTGGCAATTAGTGTGATATTTACATATACGTAATTAAAAGTATATACACACACATAAACACGTTGCTTGGTGCTGGAGCATCAGTCTCAATCTAAACAATCCTATTTACAACAGAAGGGCCTGGTCCTGTGCCATCCTGGCAAATGCTGCTATGTAATCACCAAGTCAAACAATCTTATTGAGGCTCTTCTTCATTTTTGTTGACCCTCTACAAAGTATGATGTCTTTTTCCAGGCATTGTTCCCTCCAGATAACATGTCTAAAAGATATGACATAAATTCTTGTCAATCCTTGTTTCAGAGAACATTCTGTCAGTACTTCTTCCAATACAGTTTTGATCATTCTTCTGGAAGTCCATAGTATATTCAATATTCTTCCCCAATACCATAATTAAGGCACATCAATTCTTTGATCTTATTTCTGCATATGAAAGCAACTTAAAATATTATGCTTGGGTCAGGTATACCTTAGTCTTCAAAGTGATATCATTACTTTTTTAACACATTAAAAGAAGTATTTTGCAGCAGAACTGTCCAATTCACCGTGTCATTTGATTCCTTCTTTTTTTTGCTTTTCTTTCTTTCTAACAGTTGGTTTGGGACTGGGAGCCTCTTATATAAATCAATTAGGAACCAAGAGGTAAGCCTTTGTAATTTATTGTTGTCTCGACTGCTGCTTCCATGAGTTGACTGTGAATCCAAGTAAAAAGAAATGATGACAACTTGAATATTTTTTTTCTGGTTTTCATTATGCTGCATATTGGTCCAGCAGTTAGGAATTTTGTTTTCTTGATAACTGAAGTGTAATTCACATTAAATGCTGTAATCTTTGAACTTCAGCAGTAAAAGCTGCAAGTTCTCTTTGCTTTCAACAAGCAAGGCTATATCATCTGTTAATGAATCTTCTTCGTGATGCAAGGTTTTTCTTCATATAGGCCAGCTCCTTGAATTAGTTAACATAGAGACTAAATAAGCCTTATAAAAAAAATGCAATCTTTATACATACCATTTTGGGTTTTAAGCTACACAGTGTCTCCTTGTTCTGTTTGAGTGACTACTTCCTGGTCTATGTACAAGTTCCACATAAGCACACGCAAAAGTTCTGAAATTCTCATTCTTCCTTATGTTATCTATAATTCACTGTGCTTCACATAATAGAATGCATAGCAAGGAAAATATCTTTCTGGTATTCTCTTATTTCAGCCAAGATCCATCAAATGTCAGTTATTACATCCCATGCTGCAGGTCCTCTTTTAAACCTAACTTGAATTTCTAACAATTCTCTGTTAATATACAGTTTTTCAATAACCATCAGCTAGATTTCACTTCTGTATGATATTGACTGGGGGTGTGTAGAAAGTTAGGGGCTGTAAATGAATGTTTTCCATGTTGTTGTTATATGCCATTGAATCGCCTGTGACTCATAGTGAGCCCTAAACTCTGTTCTATCCTAAGCCAATCATATTGTCTCTGACACATCTACCCCCATTACCCCAGTGACTGAATCAATCCATCTCCTCGAGAGTCTTCCTCTCCTGCACAGTCCCTCCACCCTCCCAAGCATGACGCCCCTCTCCAAGGACTGGTCCCTCTTTGCAGCATGTCCAAAGTATATCAGATGAAGCTTCAGAATCCTTGACTCCAAGGAGCAACCTGGTTTAAGCCTCTCCAGGATGAACCTGTTCGTTCTCATAGCAGTCCATGGTATATTCAATACTCTTCTCCAATACCACAGCTCAAAGGCCTCAACTCTCTTTCTATTATCCCTAGTCATTGTCCAGCTCTCTGATGCCTAACAAGTGATTGCAAAGACCATGGCCTGTATCAGGAGCACCTTAGTCTCCAAACTGACATCACTGATCTACAGTACTCTGGAGAGGTCTTTGACAGCAGACTTTCCCAATGTAATTCATCTTTTGATTTCCTTGCTGCTGGTGTCAAGAGTATCGATTATGGAGCCAACCAAACTAAAGCTGTTAATAACCTCAATCTCTTCACCATCCATACTGATGCTGCCAATTGGTCCAGTGGTGAGAATCTTTGTTTTCTTGATACTGAACTTCAATAATAGTTTTAATAAAAAAGATCAGCTCACAGTTGAGGAAATTAATGAACCTTAAGCAAATCTTCTCAGCTGTGTTGACATGGTGACATGCTATAGACAGTGATTTAGTCAAGGAATCAACAAAGTCAGAGGCTCAAAGGAAAGAATCAGGCAATACAGATAAGAGAATGTACAAAGAGTGGGCCGCCTTAGCCCAGCCTTGCCCAGCAGGGTCATGCTGCTTTCCAGAAAGGGAAACAGTGCAAGCAGGGCAACACCTTAGACTGCCACTGTTCTCCTACTCCTGCCCAGATTAAATTAGTCTGTCTATGCAACATGCCTTGCTCTCTTTGCTTCTGTTGCCATATTTGCAGGGAAGACTTGGCTGCTCAGTTAACTCCATCTTACAAAGCATTAAGATTCAGGATTGTAGGTTCTGAATGCACAGTCAAAAGTCATGTTTGGGCTCTTGGAAATCAATGAATCAGAGTGACAAGAAAGTGGTTCTATGGGAGAGCAGCGTCTCTGGGCAACCCAATGACCATTCTTCCATCCTGCGATTTTTGTTTTGATTGAGCAGCAAGCATTCACACATTTCTGCTCTGCTAGAGGAGTGGAGGGACAGCAGAAACACATAGGATCTCCAGGAAATAAGTATCATGGACCCTCATGGGGTTGACAAGCATCTTCCCTACAAACAGTTTACCTGAACTTCCTTGACACTTGTGGGCTTTGTGCTCAGCACCACTGATGGAGAAGCAGCACGAACCAGATGCTTCAAGATATCCTTGAGAGTTTCAGATATTGCACTGGTCTCAACCAGCTGGTCCTGGTGAAAGAGGAAAGAGTTATTAATCATTTGTCACCAAGCACTTGTGCAAAATTTCAGCCATAACACACAGCTTTCCTCACTATGTCCCCAATGTGAGCCGAATTGATATTAAGTCAACATTTCTTCTTGATAGAGTCAAACTGTGGCTAGTAATTTTTGTCATGAAGAGCAAGTCCTTTCTATTGGTTTCAGATGTAATGATTTTTATTTAAAAATTTAAAAACAAAGATATATGCATTACCAAAATGTTAATATTCTACATTTACTCTTTCCTAAGCATATGTATACATGGTTCTTTTTGCATAAAATTTAATATTTTTTAGAGATGAAAAAGTATTAAAGGAAATGAGAAGGATCAAGAACTGTGAAAACAAATTTATAAAAGAGTAATAAAGCCAGAGGATGTTTGTTAAGACCTAGAAAGCTACAATAATGAATACCCAGGAGCTCTGGTGGCCTAGGGACAGGAATGTGTGCAGCAATCTCAAAGGCAGTGCAAGGCCACCAGCTGCTCCTCAGGAGAAGGATGAGCTATCTCCTCCCATGGGATTAACTGCCTCTGAAAACTACACAGCAGAACAGTACACAGCACCTCACATGAACAATGAACACATATGACAACATGATGGATCTCACAACAATAATGCTGAACAGGACACTCTCAAAACAAGTGATCCAAATCGGTACCATCTGTGGCAAGCAGAATTTTAAGATCACCCCAAGAGCTAATGTGATCACCTGTGACATGTTTGCTAATGTGTCTGGCTGACCAACAGCATATGGTAAAGATGACATTACAGTCACTCTTTTGATTCAAAAACCAAAAGGTACCATAGAGTTAGTGTCCACTCATAGTAACCTTCATCAGGTTTCCAAGGCCATAAATCGTAATGGGAGGAGAATGCCATATTCGAATTGTTGGAGAGAGCAGCCTTAGAGCTAACAGTGCAACTTATTATAAACTTTGTTACAAATCAAAGGGACTAGGTTTTTTAAGACTTTGTCTTGGGAGACTGGTTGCACTGTCCCAAGAATGTCTGCCTGGTTTGGCCTGTTTACATCAAACTACATGAAAATTTACCATTTACTAAAAATCTAAGAAAGAAAATCTGCTTTCTGCCAGGACCTCTATAATAATAATCATCAGAATTACCAATACTCACAGCATCTTTATGATGTGCTAGCATCATTCTATACACTGGGAAGTATTAACTCATTTGATTATTGAAACAGTCTTGTCTACCATTATCACAGATAGGGAGCATGAGGCACAGAAAAGTTCATTAACACAGGCAGAGAGACACAGCTCCTAAATGACAAAGCCAGGAGTCACATCCAAATGACTGACAATTGTACCAATGTTGTTGTTGTTGCTGTTATGTACAGTCGAGTTGCTTGTGAGTCATAGTGACTGTATGTACAACAGCCCTAAACTCTGCTGTGTCCTGGGCCAATCGCACTGTCTCCAATATACCCATCCCAATTACCCCAGTCACTGAATCAATCTACCTCATAGAGGGCCTTCCCCTCCTGCACCGTCCCTCCACCCTACCAAGCATGATGTCCCTCTCCAAGGATCAGGCCCTCCTTACAACATGTCCAAAGTATGTTAGACAGAGCCTCAGAACCCTTGCCTCCAGGGAGCCGCATGGTTTAACCCTTTCCAGGATGAATCTGTTTATTTTCCTTGCAGTCCATGGTATTCTCAATACTCTTCTCCAGCACCACATTTCAAAGGCATCAATTTTCCTTCTATCCTCCTTAGTCACTGCCCAACTCTCTGATGCCTAACAAGTGATAGCAAAGACCATGACCTGTATCAGACACACCTTAGTCTCCAGAGTGACACCACTGCTCTTCAGAACCTGGAGAGGTCCCTAACAGCAGACTTTCCCATCACAATACATTTTTTTTATTTCCTGGCTACTGGTGCCAAGAGTGTTGACTGTGGAGCCAAGCAAACTGAAGTTGTGAACAATCTCAATCTCTTCACCATCCATCCTGATGTTGCCAATTGGTCCAGTGGTGAGAATCTTTTGTCTTCTTGACATTGAGCCTCAATCCATTGGAGGCTGCAGCAAGCGCTTCAGGTCCTCCTCAGTTTTAGCAGGCAAAGCTGTGTTATCTGCATAATGCAGATTGTTGATGAATCTTCCACCAATCCTGACACCACATTTCTCCTCATACAGCCCAGCCTCCCAGATAATCTGTTCTGCATACAGGTTGAAAAGATATGGAGATAGGACACATCCCTGGCATACACCCTTCCCAATTTTGAACCATGCAGTGTTTCCTTGATCTGTTCTGACAACTGCCTCTTGGTCCAAGTATAGGTTTCACATTAGCATGATCAAGTGTTCTGGGATTCCCATTCTTCTCAGAGTCAACCACAGTTTGTTATGATCCACA